TAACCGTTTACTTCCCTAACTAAAACTTAAAGTTAATACTTTTTACTTACGTAATCTTTAAAAATTAGCGTGTTTTAAAAATTAAGTACTAGTTTCTCTCTCTCTCTCTCTCTCTCTCTCTCTCTCACTAAGTTGTGATCTCCATCTCATCGTTTCTTCAACCTCCCTTTCTTCCCTTCTTCTCATCTTGCCATGTAAGGTGCATTCATATGTTTAACTCATATCGTTCCTCTTCATTTGTAACAAAGAGCTCATTGTTTTGAGAAGATTTAGTAGTCAATCTCTTTGCAATAGGCTTCGCCCCTAGTAAATTTGTGCACCAATGATGTCTATAGCGAGTCCTATGATAAGCAATTTTTTTATTGTATCATCACAAAGAGTTCTCTTATAATCCTTTTTTTTTATTGTTTGATTATTGTATTAAACAAAAGTGTAGGAGATTGTTTAGTTAGGATAAGATGTGCAAACATAGAAACTCTTTTACTGGCCAAATGTTCACCAATAATTAGCCTGCATCTATTATTATTCTATTTATTTTATATGTTCTAGATGGGGGCGGGCGGGGGGGGGTCAAGGCGGGCACCTAGGCGGGTCTGGGCACCCTCCTAGTGCCACCTCCTTAATTTTTTTTCCTTTTAGTTAGTGAGAGAGAATTAGGTTTATGTAGAGAGCTTTTTTATTGTTTGTATTTCTATTCATTTATTTTAGACTAGGGAGACAAAGTATCCTTTAGATTCTAGAGCATCCCTCCAACGTTCTAACTCTGTGAAGACAACACTGCCCCTAATTTCATCAATTAAAACTATGTCATTCACGAACAACATACACAACGGTAGCTCATCTTGTAAGTGCCTAGCTAACTCTTCTATAACTGCAACAAAGAGGTATGGACCCAGTGCTGACCCTTGATATACAAATACACACATATAGTCATATATTATATGCACTTGTCGTGATAGATAATATTTTTCAGAGTTCACATGTCTAACATTCGCATGTGTCATAAATGGACACACGTGTCCATTTCTATGTAACCTAGCATATTTTTTATAATTAGTTTTGTGGTTCACACAAGGATCAGAGTTCCAGAAAATAAAGCAGCTAATGGACTAGTTACTAGCATTTCCACATAACTTCTCACCTCCGGAGGTTCTAGTTGTGTTTATTTTTTCCTTTGTTTTCCTTTAAAATATCTTTAGGAATCTTTCCTATCGCTTTTTTTGTTATGTCAACTTGTTAATTCTAGAAATCTAGCTGTTCTTTGATTAAACTTATCACTTCTTTCTTTACATGCTTAAATATTTTCAAACTTATGCTGAGCTTTCTGCTTAAACTCATTAAGTTCTGCCTCAGCGGTCAATTTTACACTTTGTGTTGTATAAAGGATTGGTCTCTGAATGAATAACAGTTTCTTTTGACAATGGAAAAATGGATACTTGTGAACTCTGTTATGAAATTTTTCTGAATGAAAAGTTCTTTTTTTCTGCTGATTTTTGAAAAAGGATCTTTGACCTTTATCCAAAGCTCAGGATTCCTTTTCCAACTGTAGAAATTATTTCTTCTCATGTATTTTGTTTGGAATTCTTGGGTCTATGTCGAGCATGTGCAGTGTAGATTCTTGTGCGCCAAGGATTTTCAATTTTCAGTGGGCTTATCGCATGTGAATTCTTGTCTTCTGCATGGCCCAAAATCCTTGCTTGGGGTCCTTGATTCGTTCATTTGGAGGGGTTGATAAGGGTAGCCTTAGATGAAGTATATTCAGTTTTTGCATAGTTTTCAATAAAATGGAGTTAGTTGTTTGCATATTTAAAGTGATTCTATTTAAGGTAAGTTATCATCATCATCAGAGCTTTTTCCCAACTATTTGGGGGTCGGCTACACGAATCCTGGTCCACCATTTTGCTCTATCAAGGGCCATACCCTCAGTGAGGCCATAAGTCCCCTTATCTTTTCTCACTACTTCCAACCATACCTTTTGGACCTACCCTTTGCCCTTTATGAGCCTTCTACTTGAACCAACTTGCACCTCCTAACAAATGTTGTACTAGGTCTGCACTGCACATGCCTAGCCCACCTAAGTCTACATTCTTTCATCTTCGCCTATTGGAGCCACACCTAAATTCATTCAAGTTAAGTAATTCTATTTAAAGTAACTTGAGGATACTGTGGCTTCACTGATTGTTAGCAATATGTAGTGATTTGTGCATATTCTGAACTTTAAATGTGATGGAAATCAGGATCTTTGTTCAGTCATTCGTTTAGGAAAAAGGGCATGACATAGTTGAGCTGTTCCTTTGATGGTTTTTATCATCCACTGTCCACGGATTATATTCATACTTCAAGGATTTTACATGTATTGACTCCAAAGGAGTATGTCATTTCCCACTTCTTCAGTAAAATGAAAACAGAATGTCGTTGTCTCTTTAATTGTGTTTGATGGTATTCTGGTGTTGCTTTGTACATTGAAAGTAAAGTTTATGTCTCTATCTTTTTTTAATTCTTCCTCCCCAAGGATGACTCAATGATAAATTTATTCCCATTCTATCTTTCACATGGTTAGTTTAGGGTCCCTGAAAAAAGTATCATCTACATGCGGCCTGAAAAAATGCGAACTCCATATCACCATCTTTTCCAGGTCATCTTTGCAATAGTCATCCTTAATGATCATTTATAGTCAGGTCCTATGTGCGAGATAGCAGTAACACAAATTTGATCCCATTTTCAATGTCTTTCAAGAAATGATTTATTAGCGAAATTACCGTTGAGAAGGTGTGTCTTGAGAACTTTTTCTTCTTGATGAGGACAAAAGTTTTGAGAACTTCTTGATTATAACCATAGTGAAGGGACGTTTTGAGAATTTTCCTGGTTTTCTTCTAGAAAAGAAAGAGTTCTCTGTCCGATTAAGGACAAGGTTTGGATTAGTTTAACTCACTGGTTCAATCTATAGCATATATCATACTTCAAAATTAATCATGAACAGATTGGCATTTGGTTTTTCTTCGTTCTACATCTTCTGCCAAAGTTTTATGTTGGTCTGAGCTATCTCATAGATCAAGTGCCATTTGTGTTTATAAAATTTTCTTTGGTGTTTCTGAGCTTATCTAGAAAATTGTTGTGGGCATGAGCCCTAGGCACAGGACTATGCACATGATCAATGTTAAACCAGTCAACTGGAACCTTTGTATCATGATGTTTCCACTGTCTGAAAGGGGCTGTTTGCTTAGTGGTTCAGGCTGTGAAACTGTAATGTAACAATGGTTCCAGTCCCACCTGCTTACTGACCCAAAAGGATGTACCCACTGTCTGTTCTAGGCGTCCTTCTTAGGCTTCCTAAGTGAGGTTTTTGAATGCTATTCAGTCGCTCCCAACAATAAAATTAATACTTGGTCTGTTATGGTAGAACACCGTGCCCAAAATCTCTCAGTTCTCTTATTTTACTAATGACCATAAAAATACTTAATTTATGCCTTTCAAGCCCAATTCGAATTTTGAAATACTCCAGAACCCCATCCTGGTCTTAGGATACCTTGACAAACTCCATCTTTATCAAGTTTCAATATGTCCAATGGGGGATGATGCCTATTTAGTTCCTCACATTAAGAGCTTCACTGTGCTATGGTTTGTGGATCTTTCACTAACTAAAAGACGAGTTCTGGCAATTTTAGGACTCCAACTTCTTGTTTGACATTTGGCTTGGAATTTCTCTGCATAATGCTATTAACAGTGGGAAGACTTCATAGTGTGACATTGCCTACTTCTACAGTGGTGTGCGACCCTGTTAAAGGGATTTTTAGGGTCTAAAATTTTGGTAAAATTTCTTGGGTTCAATTTACGACTAATTTAAAAAAAACAAAAGGATTTTGAGCTCT